TAGAAGTAGAGAGAACGAGAGGATGAACCCCCGAGTACCCATTGCTCAGATTCAGTAATTACCAACTCAGAGCCCATACCATTTCTTCTGTGTCTTTCTCCCAACTCTACCCACAATGGCTTATTTTGAAACAAATCCTAGACTTTCGGCATTAGTAAATATTTCAACCTGTCTCTCTTAAGGAGAAGGATTCTTTATAAACATAACTCCCAAAGTATTATTTTGTGATATTTTACACATTAATGAATTAACAGGTATACCATGCTATTTTCAAGACAAATAGTGAAGGTTGCTGAGTTTCTTTAGGTGCCCTAGTGTGACTAATCTCCAGGAGACTTGAAAACAGACTGGCCCGAGCACACAGAGAGAGGGCCATGCAAATTGTGTCTGCCTTCTGCAAAGAAGCACATTTCTTTACCCCACATCGTGACTTGGTGGACACAGCTCAGGGCTACACTCTTTTGTTTTATAAAGTCATTATTAGGAAACTTCAAAAACAATGCTGTCTGAATCCCACGTCCTTGACTTGTGACACGGGCTTGTGCCTTGGCTCCCTTTCTGGAAAGTTCCAGAATTATATAAAAATTATTTCTGAAATCCTGATAGACACGTTTTGCCAAGAATGTCAGTTATCTCTTGACAGTTTGGCATTAGCCTTTAAATATTAGATTGTGTCATCATAACACCTTTCAGGGAATAAGGTGGTGGGTGGCTGGCATTTTAAAAAGTAAAATGAACTCGGGTTCCTAGCAATGTTAATCATTAGTCTACTGAAAATGCTGATACTATTCTGTAATAGTGAAATGCTAAGTAAGTAAAAAGCAGTATGTCACAAATAACTTTGGTGAGAGGTGAGTAAAAAGTGATTTTTATGGGTTTAATATATTTTTATCAGTCTATATCTATATCTGAAGGATATGTTCAAGCTTTGAAATGGAGAAAGTAGTGAAGGAAGCTTCTTGTGAGTTCCACCAGTCTGGTAGCCTGGCCAGCATATTTCAGAAATAGATCATTATTTTTGTCATTGTACCCTGCCTTCTCATTGCCTTCCTTGCCCTTGCCCTTGCAGCAGAGAAGAGAAAGAAACTTGTGGTCTCTACCATAAATATATATGGTAACAGCAGTCAAGTAATTCTGTATTTTTTTGTGGACAAGTTATTCATTTGTGATGATGGAATGGCTTATTTTTAATGCAGTGTTTTTCATTCAACTAAACTAAGATTCTTTTTTCCATTTGATTTAATGTCTGTACCCCACTCCAAGGCAGCATAAATTTAGTGCAGCTTCTCATTTTACCAACTTGGTAGAAGTTTTAAAGGTTTCATTCAGTTTACTTTTAGCTTTTCATATGAAATGGACTGTAAGAACTCTTTAATTTACAGAATAGTGTGTAATTAAAGACCTAGTGTTACCTGGCACATGGATTGTACCAGGGATTATGGGAAAGAGGAGGTTTGGGGCATTGATTTACGATCATGGGGAAGAGGAGGTTTGGGGTGACTGGAAAGGAGAATCTTTGGAAATCGGATAGAAGCACGGACTGTATCCCAAACAGACCACACAATGGAAGAAACCTGGATTTATTGTGTCATGTAAAAGATAGAAAAGATTTCTTCCATTTTCTAGGAAGAGAGGTCCATATGGATAACTCATAATTTTAAATCTTTAATGGAGAGGAATTACCATAGGTCATGGCCACCCATATTAAAAATTTCAGTAAACAGTGAACAGTGAACATTGTTTTTAGAACTTTCTATTAAACAATAAAATATATGCAAAAAATGCATAAATAATTTTTGTAGCTCGATGAATGGAATAATAAAGGTGTAATTAGCACCCTCAAAAGTCCCCCTCAAGCCCCTTTCCAATTATCACAGTCCCCTACCGGCCCTAATTATTATTAGGATAACCACTACCCTAATTTCTAATACCATTGATTCATTTAGCCTGTTTGAAATGTGTGTAAATGGAATCTTACCATATAAGCTCATTGGTATCTGGTTTCTGTCACTATTAAATCTGTGAGACTTGTGTGAGGGGGGACCCAAAAATAACCAGAATTTATTTATAAAATATTGTGTATTTAATCTTACATATTTAAACTTCAGTCGCCTTCAAAGTACTCTCCATTTGATGCAATAACACCTATCGAGACTGTTTTTACTGCTCAAAACAGTTAAGGAATGTGTCCATTTTGATGCCTTTTTGTGCATCTGCCGTTTTTGTTTCATCTCCACATCTGCAAAAAGTTTCTTCCTGAGGACTTTTTTCATCCGTGGAAACAAAAAAAAAAGTCACTGGGTGAGATCGGGTGAATAGGAACGGGGGGGTCACTGGGGCCATGCTGTTTTTGGTCAAAAACTGCTGAACACTCAGTGCAGTGTGGGCGTACACTCATAAATCACCCATCGTGAAATGGGCAAATGTGTTGAGTCTTCAAAAAAAAATTGACTGAAGCTGACCACAGCTTCTCACCACAACATCAGCTGGTGCACTGATACAGATGGTTCCTAGCGGGGGAAGCCTGTGCTACAAAGGGCCCGCCCTCTAGAAGATAATTGCAGGGTTTTTTGGCTGGGGGGAGGGGGGGTCCCTGCTTGTTCCTTTATGTGTAGCAATTTATTTTTTATTGGTGTATAATATTTGGTTGGGTGACTGTACCATAATTTACCCTTTTTATTGTTGGTGAACCTTTGGTTGTAGCCTGACTCTTGGATGTTACACACAGTGCTGTGAGCAGTCCTAGACGTGCGCTGTGGCGGGCCGAGCGGTACCCACCTCCCGGGAGCCGCGCCGTGGGCGCAGGGTGCGCACGTGGGCAGCCCTGCAGTGCCAGGTCTCCCAGGATGGAAGCCATCTCGCACTCCTACCAGCAGTGCCTGGTTATTTTTAAAACATAACTTCGTTGGAGTGCAATTTGAATAAAAGAGTAAAATCATTTTAAGTTTTGGAATGTAGTGCTAAATTTGTTTTCAGGAACACTAATTTATATGCCATTGAATGAATACTAGGTTTTATCCAACTTTCATCTTTCAATTTATAGTGAAAACTGTCTCAGTTCTAAACTAATGAGTTAACTTTTGATGGCTTAATTTTGCTCATTTGAGGCTGTCCTGGCCTTGTTTGTTTGTTTGTTTCCTTCTTTTTGACCATTTGTGCTTACTGCTTTGTAATAACTCATTTTTTAAAAATCTAAATTTTTGGTCATATGCCATGATTTTTTTTCTCTTAGTTTATTCCTTAACTGTCTCCTACAATATAGAAGTTTTAAATGTGTGTATGCTTACATCTGCTGTTCTTTTCCTCTGAGGTTGCTGGCTTTGGTCATTCTTATGAAAGCCTTTTTACCCCCCAAGACTTTTTTTTAAAGTGTTTTCTTTGAGGACTTTATTGCTTGTACTTAATTTTGTTTACTGTAACTAGATTTGATTTTTTTCTTTCCCCAACATGAGGGTGCTTTGTAAAGTTTTAAAACAATTTAAACACGTTGTACTTCCGTGTGTTACCTTAGTGGTAACTTGGGAGTGTTCTGCAGGCTGACAGAGGGTGACTGGACAGAAAGAATTGAGTGTACCACAGCATATATGTGTGTGTCATTTGACTGTGAGAAATGAAGCCGGCTTTCCAGGGTGGTTACTGTTTGAGCCGTTTCAGTGTGCATGCTGCTAAAGTAGTTAGATCAGGTTTGCGTAGATAACCCATTTTATTTAATATCTCTGGTGGATGTTGTTCAAGGCTCTTAAACAAGGACTTGGCCAAAAATACACCCGGCTTCTCTGTTCTGTGGTTTATAGCACAGATGATTGGGGAGTCCAATACTTAATTTCATACCTTTAAAAATGTAGTTTTTCTCTATTTAAGAGATTGTTTAAAAATTTCTTTGGGTTCTTTCTCTTTTGTGTAATCGTGCATGCAGTTTGCACTGCTGATTAAGACAAGGCCAGTCTGTCATATCTTTTTTTTTTTTTTAATGTTATAGTGGGCTTTGTGAGCTCCCCAAAGCACCCTGCACCCCCCCCCCAACCACCTAAAAGTCCTATCCGTTATTATGGGGTTAGATCGCAGAGCAGAGACATAAAATAGTATTAGACTGGTGTTAATCGATATTAGCCGTCTCCTCTACTGAGATGGATTGGCTTGGTTTGTGTAATGCATCCTAGTACCTTAAAGGAGTGAGCGTCTCAAGGACAGGCATGATTTTGAGGGAGAGAACACAGAAGTGCTGTCCTCTGTGACTGTGACCCCAGAGCCCCGGAGTCTAAGGGGGAGAGAGGTTCAGGAGGAAGGGGAAGAGTAGGCCACAAAAAAAACTTCAGACAAGGTTATGTCATTTTTTTTTTTTTATTTTTTACTGGTCTTTTGCATTTGGCAGTAATACTTACAACAAGTTTGTGTCTCTATTTTGATTATTTTCTAAGCCAGGGAGAAAACTGGGGACTTTCCTTAGTGAATTCATACATTAGGAGCAGAACATTTCCAGTTTAGGAGAAGCGTGTTTTCCCGAGAACCTGAATTTGACTAAAGGAAATACTGGATATATGTTAAAGGTTCATTGTGGGTCTGCTGGAAAGGAGAGTACCAAGGGGAGAAAAACGGAGTGCCGTTCACTTATGGACAGTATGTACAAAAAGTCATCTTAGTCATTTTACATATTAAACTCATTTAATTCTCACAGAAATCCTATAAGGGGTGTTTCCCTGATTTGCAAGGAGAGACCAAAGGCTCGGGGAATCAGTTCACGCTGTTTTGTCTGGGCTCACAGACCTGGCAGGCGGCAGTCCTCCGAGCTGAACACAAGTCTCTGCATCTTTAAAGCCTGTTCATGTTCTTTACACAAGAGCGTATATTGCTTCTAAATTACCAGAATTACTGTGTTTATTTATATCTTATCGATTCATATGAATGTTGATGACACTTAAAATGGCATGTCTGGGAGGTGTCACTTGGAGTTGTTCTAGGTAATACAAAGCTGGTGTAATTTCCTTTACCTTCCACCTTAGCATTGAGAGTAAGCATGAGGTCACCATCCTGGGAGGACTCAATGAATTCGTAGTGAAGTTTTATGGACCACAAGGAAGTAAGTACACTTGTCGCTGTGCGTCCTTCTGTTTCAGTCTTATTCTCTGTAACAGACAATGAAATGTCTAAGACAGATGGTAGTGTGTGGGGTTTTTGAGAAGTAAATTTTCTTCAACTCTCGAGCCCGTGAGGAAATCTTGCTGTTATCATAGTAAATTCATATGCTCTTTTATCTCTATGCGACAGTATTAAACATGAATTGTGAATTCTGGCTTTTGTATGGATGACTACATTGACAGTTTAGGAAAATGTTTTTTATAGTTTTATTTTTGTTCCTGGTGTATGTATGTATTTATTCATTTATTTTGAGGGGCACATGGAGTAGATTGAAATGGGAGGCTATTACTTCCCAAAGAATTGGAGAGTTTTTAATACTTTAAAGAATCCGGTAACTTGGAGGGAGGGGGGAGAAAGTAAACCTTTGCTTATTTTCTGTCTTTTAAGAAAAGTATTTTGTTCTGAAAACAAGAGTTATAGGAGGTCCCTGATGCTGAAGGGAATTAATTTGCAAGGTTTTCAAAAGATATTAGGATTTAATATTTAATTTACACTCAGGTTTATTTTCAGATTTGGAGACATATTTCTAATGTATAACATTTTAACTTTTCTTTCAGCACCATATGAAGGCGGAGTGTGGAAAGTTAGAGTGGATCTTCCTGATAAATACCCTTTCAAATCTCCGTCTATAGGTAGGTAACTACCCGGCTTCTCTCCTTAGAGAGTTTTGAAATCAAAGAGAAAAAGACAAAAAAATCCTCTGTTTAACAACCCGTAAGACCATTAATTTCAGAAATGGTTTGTTAACTGACTTTTTCCTTTTTTGGCTTTGGTTAAATTAATCAGTGACTGTTTAGGAGACTTCTATAATGTGAGAGAAGATGTTTAAATATACCCTTTGCCTGATAGTAATGGTTACAACTCTAGATTTTTCTGTCAGGGTCAGATTAAACAGTTATAAGACTCACTGTCCATTTAGGCTGTTGGCAATAAAATCGTAAATATATCTTAAGTTTCATTTTAAATGCCAGATTGTTGGAATTAATATTATATAGTATCTGCTCTGTTTCTGCCAGTCAAAAATCCTCTCTGTATCCTACTTTGTTCTGTTCTGTTCACTGCAGCTCTGGCTACCTAGCAGCGAAATTTCCCTTTTCTGTTCTCTTCCCTCTCAGTCTTTTTGATCCTTTAAACAGCCGAAGAAACTAGAGTAGAAACCTCAGTGGGATTGTATGAAGAAGTACTTTTCCTCATCTTCGTCTTTCTTCTGCCCTGATTATTGACATTTTTAAGGTGTTACGGCCATTAAGGTACTTGTGACAATTTAGATACTTTCGTGTCAGATGCAGTAGAGGTTGTATGACTGAAGGTTGATGCCTTACAAGTATTTTGAGATTGTAGAATGCTAGCAATTTAGCCCAGGTAGTAACTTAATCCAACTTTTAAAAATTTTATTCTGTAGACGATTTTAAAACATTATAAGATATTGACCGACTTCATTAAAGAAGAAAATAAAATTGAACATAGTGAGCATTCTCTGACAGTCCTGCTGAGCCTCACGTTCAGAATTGCCGGCTCCACAATGTCTTGCTGCTGCCGCCGGCTTGTCTTGGGAACTCATGCGCGGTCTCGGGGAGACTCGACACACAGCCCTGCCCCAGCACGAAGGTTCTTTAAAGAGGTAGATCAGAGATGGTCTGAACTTCACGCTTTGATTCGAGGCCCCCACAGTTCAGCCTAGGATAAACAATGCAGAAAAGTTAGGGTGGTCACAGACTAATTCCCAATCAACTGCAGCAGCCTCTCGCCCGACATCTAGCTGCTTTATGTGCTTTGGAGAGCTTCATGCTCTAAAAATACTGCAGAGCATCTCTAATTCCATCTCTAGCTAGGAACTGTTAGTGCTCATGTTAAGAATAAACTGATTTCCTTTTACAGTCCCTTAGGTGAGTTTTCTCAACTCAGTAATTGAGAAGTACTTTATGGATAATTGAATTGGAAGTATCCCAATGCTACGAGGGTCTCTGGGTTTTAGAGTCATATCAGACGGCGAGCTAGGAGGAGAGCTGTCAGGTGTTGTGTCTTTGAGACAGTCCCGAAGGATATCTGTTTTACTGTCTGTGTAGCCTTGTCCCCGAGCCGTTCTAGGGTGGTGGGATATAGGTTCCACTCAGGTCGGGAGGGCTTTCCCATCCTGTTGTGGTTTCCTGTCCCCCGTTTATTTCTGGACTTCAGGGTGTTTCTTTACGTAGGCATTTTAAACTTGATGCAGTTGAATGATGTAACCTTTACAAACAGAATGTGTAGACCATGTAGGTCATTTAAGATTATTTCATAAATACCTATTTACTTAGACTGAAAAAATCAAGACTAAAACTTGGCATGCTAAATCTAGTGTTTTTTTTTTTTTTTACCCCAGATTCCTAGTCTGAAAGGAAACAGTGTAGCTTGTTGAAACTAACAGTGAACCTATAGAAATGCAATTGTATATCCTGTAGAAATGTAGTTATTTCTCAAGCCTTGTCTTATCGTATTTTTCCAGGTAATACACTTGTTTCATCATAACTTTCAAAGTGAAGATATCTATGCTTTAGACATTGTCTATTAACTAACGACACAGCAGAAGCCTATGTGCTTTCTTAAATTAATGGTGTAACATGAAGTTGGTCGGGACAAGTGACTAGGCTAATTTAACTTCTTAATTTTTTCTTTGCCTTACTGTGTGCGCTTAGAACTTTGTAATACCTATAGATGCGACCCATCTTCTCTTAAGGAAGTAGATCTAGTTGAAATATGTGTACAAGCTGTCCTTGTTTCCTCCAAAGGAAGATTGTGTAAGAGAGTTTTAATCAGCTGTGTGGGGTGACCCATTTTCAGGCCATCAACAGTGTAATTACTGTTGGTATGTGCTTTAAATATTTCAGGGGGTAGTGGCTCACTTAGAATAAGCAAAGCGTCCTTTTTGAGTTGTATAGATAGTTGTAGAATTGTACAGAAGGGCAAGGAGATAAGAAAAACCCAGCCTCAATGTTCTTTGTAAAGCCTGCCTCTTGTAGTGTCCATGCAGGTATACAGTTCTTGAGCCAGATTTTGAGCTCTTAAAGATTGAGATGTACAAATTTAGATTAAGCATCTTTAGTGCTTAGATCTTGAAATTTAAACGTTATATGTAGTTCTGTCTGGGCCGCTCATTTGATTTAGAGGGCCCTGATACCACCAGGTGCACTAGTTCAAACTCCGGTCAGGAGCAACCCGTGAACGCACAACTGAGTGGAACAACAAATCGACATGTGTGTATGTGTGTGTCCCCGCCCCCTCACTCTCCTCTCCTCCACCTTTCTCTAAAAATCAATTTAAATTTTTACAAAACATGTTTATATATACTTTTTTGTTGGATATACATACATACACACACACACACAATTTGTATACATGCTCCATATCCAAAATAGGAATGTAAGAAAGTCCAGGTGAGCAAAAATCAAAATGTCTCATAATTCTCTCTCTCAGTGGATGTTGTTATTTACTTTCTGGGGAATGTACTCTAAAGCGTTTTTTCTGCGTATTTAAGTCACAGTGTATCTGACATGCTTATCTTTGGGATGTCCTCCAAATGTTTGAGAGAGTTTTCAGTAGTTACATGATTGCATGAGGTGTAACTAAAAATGTTCTTTTAAGAACAATTTACATCTTTAAATAAATATTTTTTCAAAATAGTAATAAAGCTACTTCAAATTCTCTTTGGAAAGAGAAGGACTATAAAAAGACACTTCTAAGAGGTTGTGGACTTACTCTTACAATCTTGATGCTTTGAAGCTGTATATACATTTTCGAAATGGCTAACAGTCATTTAACCACAGAATAAGGCAAAGGAAAAACTGAGTAACAATTGGAGTAAAAAATGATAATACCATAATGAAACTGACTTTAGTTTAAGGATTATGATTTTCTTATAAACTGGCCCAATGGGAGTTTTCAAAGAGAAATTATAAAATTCCTTTAATCAGTTGAACATCATTGAAATATTTGCTTAGTTTTCTTGAGTGACTACTTTGAAGTAAATCGTGTTTGAATCTGTAAGTCTGATTTATTTGCAAGTTCAGACTGACTTAGCTTTCTCGCTCAGAAACATTCCTAGAATGCCTGGCCGGGCTGCAGGGTGGCGCCAGCGGAGCACAGCTAGCTGAGAGGGGCTGGTCAGAGGGCTGGTTACCAGGAGAGAGTGGTTCTGAGCCTGGCTTTGCTTGATCGTGAGAACAGTCCTCACCTGACCTGTTGTTTCCTCTTCTAGAGAGTGAGATACTGTCATTAATTAAATGGACTCTGCATGTTTGATACTGACCAGTGTGTGAGATACTCAGGGTATCTGGCATTACTGGGTGATTAAGAAGGTTGTGCAAGCTTCCACTAGTGAGGGAGAGAAGGTCAATGTAAGTAAAGTACCCCACACGCTTTAGTCACAGTGTGTCACTGCTTTTCAGGAGGGAGAGAAAACATATGGAGGAGATAGGCTTTCACAAGAAAGATTGTTTCCTGTGTGGAGAATATAGTCTTTACAAAGCTTCAGAGATGTGAAAGTACACGTAAGGCCTTTAGAAATAGTCTTTTCAAAGCCCCAAGTAATTGGTAGTCCGTGGAGATTGTGTTCTCTGCAAAGAGGTCGCTGCACAGGCTGCCGTGTCCCGTGCTCTAGACGCACAGGTTGCAGCATCACACACGTGCTCACTCCTCCGTCAGGAGAAAGTTTTTGCCCAAGAAAACATGCTCTTGCAGTTGCCATGGGGGGAATGAGTGGTCTCGTAAAGAGGGCAGTGCAGAGCAGTTCTTTGTAAAAATGAAAACTAACTGGTAAGCATAAGATACGAAATGGTTTTATGTCTAATACAAACAGAGCAGATTTAAAAATGAGAGAATATACGATCTATTATATTGACAGTTTAGACAGTGTTGGCGAAGGTATTACGATGCAGCCAGTCTAGCAGTGTATGTTGATCAGTAACAATTTTACATCTTTTGGGTGATTTTACTTAAAAACTAAATCATCTCCCTGGGTGGTGTGGCTCAGTGGATTGAGTGCCGGCCTGTGAACCGAGAGGTTGCCCTTTCGATCCCCAGTCAGGGCCTGTACCTGGGCTACGGGCCACGTCCCCCGTCCCCACTTGGGGACATGCGAGAAGCAACGGATGGATGTATCTCTTGCAGATCGATGTTTTTTCCTTCTTTCTCCCTCCCTTCCCCTCTCTCTAAAGATAAATAAAAAATAAAATAAATAAATAAAAATAAATAAAAAATAAAATCTTTAAAGATAAATAAAAAATAAAATCTTTAAAATCTGAAAGATGTGCTCTAAGATTATGTGCAAGAGTATGTAAATTGCAGTGTCGTTTTTAAAATCTTAAAGTCAGAAGCATCCCAAATGACCTAGTTGATATTAAATTATGACACATCTTAATGAACAAAATATTTTACAGCCTTTACTCATGTTTTAATACATCTTTAAAGGCACACACAGGAAAATGTAACTTTATATAGTGTAACTATTTTTTTCCATGCAAATTCTAAACACGAATGCCAAAATATTGAGCACAGTTGTCGTTGGTTTAAGAGGATTAAAGATATTTTTTTTTGTAATTTTCAATAGTTTGCAAGTTCCCTTTTATTCTAAAAGTAAACATTTTTAAACATATGGCAA